CTCTCCGGCGCTGACTCTTCGGGCGCGCAATGGACCCGACGAGCTGCTGCGTATCCTAAGCCGTTGGCCACGAAGATGGCAACCTTGTTTATGGACACAGCCTTCGCAAGAGGGTTTGAAACAACGCGAGAGTTGTTGCGTCTTCGACCTGGCCTTGTACGGTTGTGATTGTGTTAACGATGCTCTACGCTTCTTCTGTTTCGACCCGCCCTCCCTGTGCCACTCCGTTACCTCTGCGTATTTTGGGGCGTTGTATTATAGATTCAGTTGCGCTTCGCGCAGGGCTATCACAAGTTGCTTGGATTGTATCGCCGCACCGTGTGAACAGAGACAGGTGCAACAACAGTCGAAGCGGGGATGATAGGTATGTTCGCGTGGGGCTCATCTGAGATGAGAAGGTTTGCATTCCTCTGCAGTCCTCTTTCTCTCCCGCCCTGCAGTTCCTGGTCCCTCCCTAACTTTAAGGCTCGCGTATCTCACAAATCTGGCACCCAGCGTTTTTTTTTTTCAAGCATGTGCATGTCCTCTGTGAGCGTTGTACTCTATATTCAGTTGCGCTGCGCGCAGTGCCATCGCAAGTTGCCTGGGTTGTATCGCCGCACCGTGTGAACAGAGATGGGTACAAACACAATCTAAGCGGGGGTGATTTCCACTGTCCGCCAGGATGGGCCGCCGACGCCAGCGAAGACAGCGAGTGCGCCGCGGTGGCCCACCACTGCGAGCTGAGCACAATGACGCTCGCACGTACTTTTTTGGTGTTTAATTTTTTTCCTTCAAATCGACACATGGCGCAGACACTTGGACCAACCTAGCAGCCGCATATTATGCCCCGACTAGCTCCCGCAGCCGCCGCGTCTACCAGTCTGCCAGGGCACCCCGCAGTCACCCCGCGACGATATCGTAGCTGGGCCCACTACATCCCGACTCACGTTCGACCAAACAACGCCAGCCGACTTATCCAACCACTACCGACGCCGATTTACTTCCAGTAGGACACGCCCACCGCGTGCACCTGGGATGAGATGCAGAACAGGTGCAGGAGTGACCCAAACTTCCGCCTCGTCGTAGCAGTCACCAACCAGTTCGTCCACGACGTGACCCAACGACCTGGCGCATGTGCTACCAGCGACAATTGAACCACTTCACTTACGCAAGTATCGCATTGGCTCTTGACAGTTCCCTGTGGCACACAGCTTCAGGTTCTTCCCCCCGGGTCCGCGCATATACTCGACAGGATCAGCTGCACATGCTACGCACTTGCCCGTACCATCCAGGACGAGGCCAGCAGCTGCTTGCGATCATGCGCGGCCGACAGCAGCCCCAGCCCAGTGACGCCATCCAGCCGGCGCCCGCACTTGACCGAAGTTCAAGTTTTATCAAAAAAGCATCGCCCACGTACCACCGACCAGCAGAAGGCACCGAGTAGAGGACCGCGCAACTGGAAGCCACATCATGCCTTCTAACTGACCTGGCGCCGCCTGCACGTCCACTGCCACGACTCAGCATGCCTGTCATGCGCCCATCACCAGGCATTTTGACTGCCAGATGCTGACGGCTGGCGGACATGCCACCGAACCAGCGCACCCAACAGACGCAAGCGACCATCACTGCGCACTTTCCACCCGCAGCCCCGCCACCCGTGAAACATTGTCAGACAGGCTCGACCCCAGTGCCAGCTGCCGACTACCCGTTGCACAACGCCAGCAACAATGACCAGCCAACTGTAACAGCACACCTCTACGGAGCACGTGGCAATTGGCACCAATACGCACAATTCTTGGCAGCATTGCAGGAACGGCCAAAGGGCTGCATTCCTACGCGTTCCAGTCCAGTCATCTCCCACTGACAGGCTTAAGTACGCATCTACTCCAAGGAACACGAAAAATGCGGACGCGGCATGATTACCATCGCCCCTGGCACGATTTGCCCCTTGCCCCGCATGGGGAGCCTACGGGGCATACTTGTGGTAGGGGCACACGGGCTGTGGTGGCCATGGCATGCTCAATCACTGATTCTCGACTCGCTCCCCATCATGTCTTGCCAGTTTCGGCCCATGGAAAACTGTCAGACTGGCTCGACCCCAGTGCCGGCAGCCGACGACCCGCTGCACGACGCCAGCAACAATGACCAGCCAATCGTAACAGCACACCTCTACAGAGCACGAGACACTTGGCACCAATACGCACAGTTCTCGGCAGCATAGCAGCAACGGCAAAAGGGCCAGATTCCTACGAGTGCCAGTCCAATCATCATCCCATGACAGGCCTAAGTACGCATCTAATCCAAGGAGCACGAAAATCGTGGACGAGGCAAGCTCACCATCGCACCTGGCACGATTTGCCCCTTGCCCCGCATGGGGAGCCTACGGGGCATACTTGTGGTAGGGGCACAAGGCTGTGGTGGCCATGGCATGCTCAATCACTGATTCTCGACTTTCGCTCCCCATCACTTCTTGCCAGTTTCGTTTTTGGGCCTCGCTATCCCTTCGACGGCTAACCCTCCCGTGATATGGAGGTTGGGTTGTATCATTGAAGGGCGGGGGGCTGTCGTGGTGGGATCCTGATGACGGTGCTTGCGCCGTCAGCCTCGTCCGAGCATGGAGGTCAGAGCGAATCATCCGCTCCATGCCGTAGCGTGCCACTAAGCCAGGGTGTTCCGCCCGTTATTGGCAGTTCCGCCCTTTGCTTGCCCTTCAGCAACCGCCGTTCTCTTCTCTCCCCCCAAACCCACCTTGCTGTCACGCGCGTTCCTTGACAAAAGATAACGCAGTTGCCCCGCGCTGCGCCGCGTTTATAGACGCACCCTTGCACTTGCAAGACCATGTGCTGCCACTGGGTACCTGGAGGGGCCCGTGGATCGTGCGTTGCCGGAAGTGCCCCTGGCCCGTGGTGCCGCCAGGATTTCCAAGGAGCCCCCCACGGCCCCCAGAGCACCCCGCGCGAGGCCCAGGGGCTCCAAAATAGAGCCGCAAGCTGGGGGCACCTTGGGCAAAGGGCATCTTTGGCACCCGCGATGTCCTACCCACGGTTCGGCGCGATCCTGGCGGTGCATGGTTTGCACTGCCCCCCTTTCGGGCCTCTGCGCGCGGGCTCTCCCCATGCCCGGGGGGCCCCGTGCCGCCCGTGGCTGCGCTCCTGCGCCGTTGCCGTCGACGCGCGTCCAGCAGCTTGCTTTTCTCTTGTAGGCGAGGCTACGGGTGGTGGCTTGGGGTGGAGTGTGCTGGGCGGGGGGGGGCGTGCTCGGGCGCTACTTAGCACTGCCAGGCCACCGGCAGCTTACCTCTCATTGTTGCTAGGCTGCCGCCGTCTGCCCAAGGTGTTGCAAGTATGCGCGCCACAGACTACGTGCATGTCCTACTTGAACAATTGAACGCCCCTTCTGCCCAGCAGGCTCTGACTTTCTCATTCAGATGATCGGTTCCACAGCGTATGCAAGCATATTCCACGCTTGTCACGGTTACTTTCAGTTTGCAACCACGGGCCGACCATCTACATTATGCGGCAGCCTCGCAGGTAATTTATGAAGGAGGAAGTGGGCTTGGGGAGGTGTGGGGAAGGGGGGATTGCCTGTCATGTTGTACCTGTATACCGCCCGAGGCCGAACGGTCATTCTTTGTCCCTGCGCGCGCGTAGCCAGATGGAGGACACAGCCTCTAGGGGCTACACTTGGGGGCTACACTTTGGGGCTACACATGGGGGCTACACTTGGGGGCTATACATGGGGGCTACACTTGGGGGCTACACTTGGCGGCTACACATGGAGGCTACACTTGGGGGCTACACTTGGGTGCCACACATGGGGGCTACACTTGGGGGCTACATATTCAAGTTGAGCGGCCTACGCCTGCCGTGTTTCAATGTTAAGCAGTTGCCTACTGACGTCTGACTTTATGCCGTCAGCCATCCCCTAGAGGACAGCAAATGCAGACTGTGCTAGCCTACACTACAGTTCGAGCTTCCCCCCTATACATTTTAAGCCCTCTCACCGCGCCAACCTACAGATATTTCGGAGGGGGCTAGTAGGAGTAGATGATTACGATGAGGAGGGGAGTACTTCTGACATGTACGGCCACTTTGGCCTTCGGCGGAGGGGCGCATGTCCTACTGTGGGCCGCCGAGTGGTTGAAGCACTCCCCTCGCCTCACACCGCGTTTGCCTCACATGTAAGCCATCCGGGCTACGCCAGAAAACCAACCTGTACATTTCGCCAGCCGCCTGCTCTCGTTGCTAGTAGGTAAGTCAATACAACACTGAGCCAACTTACGTTGAAATCAAGGTCCCGACTTTAGCAATTGAGTTCGCGTCGCCTTATCACTTGCTTTCTGTGTTTTTGAGGGCAGTGGCGGGAGTGACTAGGAGGACGTGGATCGCATTTCATCTGACGGCAGCCTCTGTAAGAGTTCATTGAGGCAATTTGGTCACGACCTCTTTCGGTCATCTTGTACACGCCGCCCCCCGCAGCAGTAGTTGGACTTTTACCTTTTCGGGGTCCTCCTGATGATCATGTAGTGTTGGCAATTTGATGGTTGTGCCCTCCTCCCTATTCTGCACTGGCCCGGAATAGGTGACTCTATGCCGTGCTGGGCCAATCTTATATCCAGCTTCCCTTTGCATTACTTTATCTGCACCTGTCCGCGGATTAATGTGTTGTTCGATTTGCCTACAGCGGCCAGTTGCTTTCTCCTTTCGCGCGCGAACGTTGCAGCCGAGCAGCTTGAGTTTACCCAGCCCAAAGTAGACAGGTGGAGGAGGAGGAGGAGAAGGAGGGGAGGAGGAGAAGGAGGAGGGGGAGGAGCAGGAGCAGGAGGAGGGAGAGAGGAGCCCCCCCCTGATCCGTCCCCCGCATCCCTCTCCTCCTCGTCGTCCTCGTCGTCCTCTTCGTCGTCTTCGTCTTCGTCGTTGTCGTCCTCGTCCTCTTTCTCTTCCAAATCCTCCTCCTTCCCCTCCTCAGTTCCCCTCCCCCCCTCTTACCCTCGCCCAGAAAGCCGCGGCCCGCGCCAGGCGCAGGGCCCCGCGCCGAACATGCGCACGTACAATTCGGTCGGGGTGGGGGGGAGTCCCAGGGCGGGCCGCGACCCGTCGGCACGGCGCCCCGCGCCAAGCGCGCGCCCGTGCGCTCGTTGTGGAGGAAGCGGGTCCTTCTGGGCCTCCCGGACGGGGTCAGAGATCCATGCGTGTCCTTTTGCCCCCGGCCAGGCCCATCATGGGGCCACGAGCGGTGTGCACGCCCTCCTGCCTTGGCCAGGGAGGCACATGCACCGCTCCCAGAACCGGGACGGGCCAGGGCAGTGGCAGTGGCTCGGTATAGACCTCTCTCTAAGCTTCCAGTGGGGTCAGGACAGATGGGGCCAGAGGATCGCGCCGCATCGCCGATGCATCGGCGTTGCGACTCGATGTGGAGCCCGAGCTTCTCCACGCCGATGGTGCCGATGCATCGCGGACGCCGATGCATCCCCGATGTATGGGCGATACATCGGCCATGCGGCGCGATCCTTCGATCCCATCTACTCGGACCCAATTAGGGAGGCGCTTCTATCCCAGGATCGAGGCTCGAAGATTTCGGATGATTTCGTACGTTTCTGAAGGCTTCCCAGTCTTGGGATGCTCTCCTGCAGCTGCGCCTCGCCGTGGGTGTTCCGGGGTGCCCGAACCATCGTGCCGAGTGGACGCCAGAGGCCAGCGTTCTGGCCCGAAAGCCAAGCGACCCATGAAGCCCTCGGGTCACGAAAGAAGCCCTTCCTCGGGCCCCCGGCACTGCAGGAAGAGGACTCGGCACCAAAATGTGGTCCAGGGGGAAGGTCCGGGGACCAGGACCCGTTTTCCGTAGGACTCGTTTGCCTCGTGCTAACTGTGCGCGCGGGCGTGCGCGCATGCGCTGGCTTAGGATAGGGCCGAAGTGGGCTGGCGTGCCGCAAGGCTGGGCAGGGCGAGGGGGGGAGCTGCTCAAGTCGCCGAGGAGGTACTGGCATGAACTTACACTTCGTGAGGTCTGTACCGAGTTCTCGGATCGCCGTCGGGCGCCCGTGGCGGCGCCTCCAGCGCCGCCCTTGGCGCGTTCCGCGCGCCAGGGAGGGGGTTCAGCTCTGATCCAAGGCATCCGCGCGAACCTCCCAGAATTTGTGCTTCGAGTATTTTCCTCGTCGTCTACGCTCAGAGAGTAGGGGGCTTCTCTAAGGCCACAAGTGGGAAAGCTGCAAGTGGGAAACCCCTGAGACGGATATCGCATCTGAAATACTATGTATGTATGTATGTATGTATATATATATGTATGTGAGATCGAAGTGAAACGGATGTCCCCTTTACCTGGACATCGGTTTCAGTTTCGTGCTCGTGTCGTGCGTGCTGGCGAGGCGAATGTGCCTTGGCGGGGGACATGAATTGACACTCCTAGGCTAGGGCGCCGCCGGAATAAAAGACAACCTGGGGTGGCCGGGGATGTTCCGCCGTGGTGTCCCGATGGTGTCGCGATTATGTCCTGTGGTGACCTTTGGTGTCCCGCGGTGTCCCGATGGTGTTCTGGTGCTGTCACGATGGTTTCCCGATGGTGTCCCGATGGTGTTCCGATGGTGTCCTTGTGGTGTCCCGATGGTGTCCCGATGATGTCTAGACCGGTGTCCCGATTGATGTCCCGATGGGGTCCTCGTGGTGTCCCGATGATGTCCCGATGTTGTCCCGACGGTGTCCCGATAGTGTCCTGGTGGTGTCCCGATTGTTGTCCCGATTGGTGTTCCGATTGGTGTCCCGATTGTTGTCCCGATTGGTGTCCCGATTGCGAAGGCCTTGCGGTCGGTGCCGTCGACCCTGGAGGCTTGGGCTTGAGGAGGAGAGCCCGGGTTGGGATCGCCAGGGCGGGATGGTATTCTGGGTCGGGACCCCCCCGCTCACAGACCCGGGACCCCCCCCCCCCTCCCCCCGTTTCGTTGTGACTGGCGCGCATGAGGAGGAGAGCCCAGGGAGGGATCTCCACGAGTGGGTAGTATTCTGGGTCGGGACCCCCGCCCCGCAGAGCCGGGATCCTTCCGCCCCTCCCGGCGGGGAAGGGATGAACGGGAAGGGGCTTCCCTTCGACTCAACTGCGACGTTGTTCAATTTCGTTGTGACTGGCGCGCTTGAGGAGGAGCTCCCAGGGAGGGCCCAGGGAAAGGCAAGGAGCGGCGACGGTTGGACCGATCGTTCGGCGATTCGGGGCCCTCGAAGACGAAGTCGAACGGAAGACGGTCCTCCACACGCCGACAGGGTCGGTGGAATTGTGTCCGGGTGGTGTCCCCGTAGTGTCCCGATGGTAGACCCATGGTGCCCCGTTGGTGTCCCGGTCGTGTCCCGATGGTTTCCCAGTGGTGTCCCGATTGGTGTCCCGATTGGTGTCCCGATGGTGTTTCGATGGTATCCCGATGGTGTCCCGATGGTGACAATCTCGTTCGGAGAGAATTTCGCGGGCGCATCATCAACATCGTCACCATCGCAGTCATCGCGGTTGTCAGGTCCCCCCCCACAACTTCCTTCTTACCCGAAGGGTGGCCGTATAGATATCATATGCCGGATCACTAGGGGCCCGGTCCCGGGACGGGACACCCTCCCGAAGTCCCCCCCCCCGTCTTTCCCAGCACGGGAAATTTGGACCCCCATTGAGGCTTCCCGAGCTTCCCTCCGGCGACCCCAAAAGCGACTAGAGCGGCCCAACAGGACCGATCACCCCCCAAGATTGGCTCCAGATTGTACCGAAGGCCCCGAAGACGCCCTTAGAACGATCTAAGATGCCCCCTAGGGGCCGAGGAGGCCAACATTGCAAAATTCCGGGGGACATTACTTTTTAGCGCATTCGGTTTTTAACGAGAGAATCCCAAGATCGCCCCACGACGGCCCAAGCGGCCCTCAAGAGGGCCCCAGAATGGTCCGCGAGAGCCCTCAGACGGTCCAAGAGGCGCCCAAGATGGCCCAAGAGGGGTCCAAGAGAGGGATTTCGAGCTGACATTTTGAGGCCTCCGCCGCAAGTGGGGCCAGCAGGCCCCTTAGAGGTTCCCACCCCCAAGAAGCCCCGAGAAAACCTCAAAACTCGATCCACGAGGCGCCCGAGAAGCATGCCAAGAGACTCCGAATTACAGGAACCCACGAAGCCTCTGGCCCAACACTGAGGCACGGTTGCGGTGTGGACCAAAGGCCATAGATAAGCACGCAATTTGCCTTGCGACGGACCGACCCGTATGCAATCACGTGTAGCGCAGGGCGCGGCCCTCTCTTCATGTACTGCGCGCCGCGGGACTGAGCTGATAGCGGGCTGCTGCGAAGCAAGCGTGCACAGGCGCGCTGAACTTGGTGTGCGGCACGATCCGCGTGAAGGGGGTGCAACACAGTCCGGGTGTCCTCGCGAGAACCTGCCCCCTGAGGCCGCAGGTGGAGTTCCTTGTGGGGCGCGACCTGTGTGAGGCATGTTCAAAAATGGGCAGGGGGACGCCGTGAGAAATTGCTCATTGGTGCCATAGGTGGAGCTTGTTCCAGGGCGCGATTCGTGTGAATGGTGTGCTGCCGTGGGCGGAGTGACGATTTGAAAACCATGTCGTTGGTGCTGTGGGTGGCGCTGTGGGTGGTGCTCCTTGTGGGGCGCGTTCCGCGTGAGGGGTGTGCTGCTATAGGCGGGAGGGGGCGCCATGCGAGCTTTGTCTCGGGGACCGTCGATGGAGCTCGCTGTGGGATACGATCAGTGTGAGAGGTGTGCCGAAGTAGGCGGGGGTGCGGGATGCGAACCTCGTTTTTGGGGCCGTAGGTGGATCTCCCTGCAAGGCACGATCCGTGTGAAAGGTGTGCTGACGTGAGAGGGGCGACGTTATGCGAAGCTTTCCTCGAAGTGCAGTTACCTGCGGGGGAGCACGATCCACGTGAGGGGTGTGCCGCTATGCGATGGGGCCGCAGGTGGAGCACCCTGTGGGGCAAGATCCCTGTGAGGGTTGTGCCGAGATAGGTGGGGGGCCGTAGGTAGAGCTCCTTGAGGGCACGATCCGTGTGAAGGATGCGCCGAACTGGGCGCGGAGTCGCTGTTCAGATATGTATGCCCACGATAGCGCAGGTGTTTCCAAATGGTGATCGTGGTGGGATGCCGTGCGTACCGATCCGCTGATTGATATGACGCTGGCTTGGTCTTGGCTAGAACATACGCGCGCGAAGCGCGTGCGTTGTTGTTTTGTATGAAAATGTAATAGAACCTTTGTGGCAAAACTATGTGTCATTACATGTCGCATCTTCCCTGGAATACCTTGGGTGTCTTATCTTCCGCCGCCTCCTTCCGTGGGAGGATCTGCTTTTGCTTGCACTCCTCCTCCTCAGTCAGGAGCCCGAGTGAGACGCGAACAGTGCTCCAGGCGACCCACGTGTACCGCACCATTACTATTATGTCTCCCAGCACGGCCACAGTTTTTCATTGTTCCTGGAGAGGCAGGCTAAGCCCTCATCATGACGCGCTCAGGCCGTGTACACATTGACCTACAAAGTCAAGTGTCGCCCAGATGTCCGATAGTGTTTTCAGCAGCCGATGTGTGATAGTGTTTTCGGGGTCCATCTTGGCCACCATCTTGACTGCCCAGTGTTCTCGCAACCAGTCGGAACGAGGTATACTATTGAAGTCGGTTCGTGGAGGGTACCGTGTTTGTTCGATGTTATTGTGCACCCTGGGGAGGGTACCCTTGGATGGCCTGTGTGTTTTTGCCGACGGAGGGTCTCATGTTCTTGAAGGATGCTATTCTGGCCTAGGTCCGGCTGTATTCAAATCAACGCTCCCGCTCGCGCTCCCCAAAGAAAACCAATTGCGCAGGTCATGGGTACGTTGCTGGATATTCTGGACTACTGTTGCAGTGGCCTTGTGCTACCATAGAACTGCACGGCAGCATGTTTTAGGATTCCTGGTTACCCGCCTCCACGTTGATGCCTTCCGCGCGCGCGCGGCGGATCGCGTGCCCAGGGCCCAGGGGCCCAGGGCTGCCCGGGAACAGGCGCATCCCCGAACTCGGGTGCCCAGGGCTGCCGGGGACAGGCGCAGTAGTGTCCAAGGA